TTCCGTGTGGGGTGTTTTTTTTTTTTTTTCCTCCTTTCGGGAATCCACTTCCTACTTCCGCCTACTCCTCCTCCCCCTCCCATCAGCATCCTGTCACGTGGTCCGGGTCAGTGTCAGGGCTGCAGAGAAGACGGGGGGGGAAGGGAGGGGACTGAAACTGCGCGTGTGTAGAGAGCCCTGGCCAATGAGAGCGCAGCCTTCACTCTGAGGGGAGTAGGAAGGAGGGCGACGGGAGGAGCTCTTCCTCCAGCCTAAGGGGTGCTAGTACGTACTGGGTGGTGACGTCACGGCCCTTGAAGTAAGGCGGGGGCGCCTGTGAGTGCTCGCTTTGGGATTTTGAAGCACTGCCCCCTACAGGGAAGCAGAGGCAACTGACTGGCGCTGATCGCTCGCTCACGTGTTGGATCCAAATTGTAGTGTAGTTTTTTGGAACGCGCAGTGATATTTGAGGATGAAATGGACAGAGCAAACATGCTTCTAAATCTTCAATAAGGATTTGTTACTGTTCCATCCTTTCTCCCGAATGAGCCCAAGGCATCAAGCAGTAAAGAAGAAAAACAGTGCAATTAAAAATTAAACAAAAAGTAGGTACATCCAGTGCTTTTTTTCTTTTAAAAAAAAAGTTTAGGGGTACTCTCATTTTTACTCAAGAAAACCACCATTTTATAGTTCAAATGGGGGGGGGATACAGTAAATGGACAAAAGTACAAAGATTCACAAAACGTTTAGGGGTATGCACACCCCTGTGTGTCCCCCCCCGAAAAAAGCACTGGGTACAGCATGAGACTCTTAATCTCAGGGTCATAGGTTCGAGCTTCACATTGGGAAAAGAATTGCAGGAAGTTGGAGCAGATGATCCCTCGTCCCTTCCAATCCTACTATTCTATGATTCTGTCTTTAAAAACATTTAAAACAGGAACTAAAAACAACAAACCCACCACTCACAACTTTCAGATTCAGGACTGCTAGCTTGGCCCCACAACCATGGGGTCCTGGGACTGTGGGTGCCATGCAACGTGCATGGCCCTGGAACTGAAATATGTGGGTGCCTGGCCCCTTCATGGGAAATTTCATGGGTGCTTGGGCACCCAGGGCATCAGGGTGTTGGCACCTATGTTCAGGTTAGTTTCAACCACACTGGTTCTCTTTACTGCCTCCCACTCCCCTCCAGTTCGTTGGCACAAATGTTAACTTTGCTAGAATCTGTTATGAGACTGTGATGCAAACAGCCCGCAGAAGGATAATCATGCTGTTATGTACTGAAGTTCTCACCCTGGGCCAGCAGGGGGATACTTTAGATAGTTTTCACTCAGGTCCACTTATGCAAATAAGGAATTGAAAGTGACATTCAATGATTGCATAGTTACAGAAAGTTGTTACTGTTGTTTGTAGTTGAGCTCTATATAATCAGGTTGGCTGAACCCTTCAGCCCAGTTCTGTTCTGGCCTGTGAATAAACAAGAGCTGTCTGAAGAATCGCTGTGTCGTCTGATATGTTCACCCACGACTTAACACATGCATGTCTACTAAAAATTAAATCCCACTGAATTCAATAGAGTTTGCCCCCTGTTAAGTGTAGGATTGCAAGTTTAGTATTCATCCGATTTCCTCCCACCCCCCAAAAAAATCCACAGGAAGTGATAAGCAGGCATATTACATTAATGTCCATCACTGAACCTCTCCCCGCTCCAAGCTGACAATTCACATTCTGCTGATTTTCTGCCATTTTATGAACACCCTGCAGTCTTGGCTGAAGTTTTCCTCTGAAGTTGGGTGTATGTTTAACTTCACTTGATGAAACAGTTTCTCCCTGGCCAGTAGCCTCGGGCAAAAGAAGGAAACGAGAAACCAAAGAAGCCGGGAAGTGTGAAACATCTGCCTGGATTTTCATTTCATTAGCCTTCTTACTGAGCGTTCCAGATTATTGCTTTATATTACATAAGAAATGTGCAAAGACGCTCTCAAGGCAAATCTTTAAAAATGTAGTATAAACATCAACAACTGGGAATCACTGACCTGCAAGCGTTCCAATTGGAGAATAGCCTCTACAAAAGGCATCATGAACTTTGAAGAAGCACAAAATCAGGATAAAAGGGAGAAACAAGCTAAGAGGAAGGCAGAGCCATGGCTAGGGAGGGGGTCTAGCAAGGGTTCCTGCTCTGGGTGAAACCTCCAGAAGGGCGCCATTGAGGCTCCCAGCCTCCCAGGATCTCTGGGCTTCAGCCAAAAGTGAAAAAGTGAAAAGGTAGCCACAAATTCCATCCTTCCCCTTTCCCCGTGAAGCTGAAGAAGGCTCATTTACAACTCGATCCAGGCTGAGGGGGAGTTGGAAAATCTGGAGAAGCTGTGTGGTTCTCCCCAGCGAAGCAGAAAATAGAAATCACCTATCGGTTTGCTACTGTATGAGAAAGAAATTCTGAAGGGATAGAGGGAGGGACAGGAAGCTGAGGAAGAGAATCAGTTGGCCTAGATCGGAGGTTTTCAACCTTTTTAAGTCCACGGCTCCCTGGACCAACTAAATTCTTTTTGCAGCACCCTGTGGGGCTCAGGAGCCCAGTTATGTCACCCCTTGCCTGCAGAGCTGGCAGCCTCTCACCCTTTTTCAAACACTATCCCTTGTGGAGTGTTCCCTCAGCCTCCGCTCCACACCCCTCTCTTTAGGAGTCCTCCAGGCCAGGGGCGGAGGAAAACCCCTGGACTAGATGATCCTTAGGGTGACAGCAGTCACAAAATTAAAAGATGCCTGCTTCTTGGGAGAAAAGCAATGACAAACCTAGACAGCATCTTAAAAAGCAGAGACATCACCTTGCCAACAAAGGTCCGTATAGTTAAAACTATGGTTTTCCCAGTAGTGATGTATGGAAGTGAGAGCTGGACCATAAAGAAGGCTGATCGCCGAAGAATTGATGCCATTGAATTATGGTGCTGGAGGAGACTCTGGAGAGTCCCATGGACTGCAAGAAGATCAAACCTATCCATTCTGAAGGAAATCAGCCCTTAGTGCTCACTGGAAGGACAGATCGTGAAGCTGAGGCTCCAATACTTTGGCCCCCTCATGAGAAGAGAAGACTCCCTGGAAAAGACTCTGATTGGGAAAGATTGAGGGCACAAGGAAGGGGATGACAGAGGACAAGATGGTTGGACAGTGTCCAATTCAAAAACCTGACCTCAGATAGACAACTGCTGCACATGGAAGTTCTACTTTTGACAATTTCCTTTCCTAGAAAGTGATGCTCTTTTTGACTTTGGTCATGCAGTCATAGTTCTTCCTAGGATTCCTTTGCATTACAATGATATATTACCTACTTTTTATGCCCTTTATGAATAAATGTTATTGAGGTGTTTGTATGTATGTGTATGTATGTCCACAAACACACATCCGGGGCGTGGGTATTTGACCTGGGTGACAGAAAACCTAGGAAGGCACGTTTGTCAAATCCTCACCTTGATCAATTTCCACCTGGAAACCTATGTCCCCAATGTGGAAGGATGTGTGAATCCAGAATCGGCCTCCACAGTCACTTAAGGACACACTGTTGGAAGATTGGAAGACAATCTCATTCGACTACAAATGATAGCCAAAGAAGAAGATGACCTATTGGGTAACAAGACAATTCTGAGCATAGATGCAAACTCCCTGTGGCCCTGGGTGCCCGAGCACCCACATAATTCCTCACGAAGAGGCCGGGCACCCACAATTTTTTTGTGCCAGGGCCACGCACGCTGCATGGCACCCACAGTCCCAGGCACCCATGGTTGTGGGGCCAAGTTGGCACTCCTGATTCTGAGTAAACGTGAGGGGTTTCTGGGTTGTCTCTATTTTCATATATGGTTAAGATTGCACTGTTAGTAATGCAATGAATAGAACAGTATCTTGGAGATCGCAAAGTGAGAATGTTGAAGCTCAAAAGGGGCAGTACATTGTTCTTTTCATCCCCATTTTATCCTTACAACAACCCTGTGAGGTAGGCTAGGCTGAGAGACTGTGGCTGGCCCAAGGTAACCTTCTGAGTTTCATGGCTCAACAGGGATTTGAATCCTGGCCTCCAACATTCTAACTGCTACAGGACACTGTGGCACAGGATTCTTTAATTGCCTGTAGGGTGATTTTTAAATGGCTAAAAAGTTGCAGTCTTTTATCCTGTGAATCCAATGCTGTCAATGAGACTTCATTCTGAATACATGAATAGTACACTATTGTGGTTTAACTGTAAAGTACTGTGCAGGCCTCTGGGACGCAGGTGGCGCTGTGGGTTAAACCACAGAGCCTAGGACTTGCCGATCAGAAGGTCGGTGGTTCGAATCCCCGCGACGGGGTGAGCTTCCGTTGCTCAGTCCCTGCTCCTGCCCAACCTAGCAGTTCAAAAGCACGTCAAAGTGCAAGTAGATAAATACCTACTGGCGGGAAGGTAAACAGTGTTTCTGTGTTGCTGCTCTGGTTCGCCAGAAGCGGCTTAGTCATGCTGGCCACATGACCCGGAAGCTGTATGCTGGCTCCCTCGGCCAATAAAGCGAGATGAGTCTAGACTGGACCTAATGGTCAGGGGTCCCTTTACCTTTACTGTGCAGGCCTACTCAGAAGTAAGTCTCATTAAAGCCTTAATCATATTTTTCATACGAAATACGATCTGAATTAGGAAGAGCATCAATGCTCCTCTTTTCTTCTCCAGTCACAGTTCCCGCCCCCAAATCATACATTCTTCAAGGTTTTCTATGGTCACTTAACGGCGGCGCGGTAGCAGCCGGAGTAAAACGAAACCAGCAACCGAACTTCCACACATCTGAATTGTGACTCTACATTTTTATCTCAGTGGTGCGAATGAATGAATGAATGGTGTGAATGAACGAATAAACATTGAATGAGCCTCCACCTCCTTCTGGAATGTGAACGCCCCCTTGTACAGCCTCTGCGTTCGGAACGAGCTGAAAGGCTAAAAACATCGTGCCTCATTTGCATTCCGCTCAGTGATAGGCTGGGAAGGTTAAGGAAGTAGACGCTGCTGCTTGCCGCGCAGTTTTGAAATCTCACTGCCAGCCGGTTCCGTGTTTGTTTCTGCTGCGAAAGTATGGCTGAGCCGTTGGGCACTGATAATCCTGAGCGGGATGAACAGTACCGGAGGTAAACGAAAGGCTTTGGAACGGGAGGGTGATTATGCATTTAAGGTTTACTTCTGAGCTAAGATTCCCGAGCGTTTCTCCTTCCCCGGATAAGAAATGTGATAACGCCGTTTCTCCTGGGCAAGTGGGAGTCAAGACTGTACAATCCTAGCGCGTGCCCGGTGGACTCAGTTGGTCTTACTTCAGAATACACCTGTGTGTGGTTACTTTGCGGAGCTGTGATATTCGAAATATTTAATAACAGTTATTTCAATGATTACTAGCTCACATTTCAGGGTGCACAAGTTCCCTTGGCAGGTTGCAGCAGATGTAAAAAATGCAGTGTTAAAATTCCAGGATGTAAAACAGCAGCAAAAACAATTAATAGCGTTAAAATAACAGCAGGTCAGAAAGTTATTCAAAATAACAATAGTAAAATGTAGGTAGCCCTGCTGGCTTATTTTTATGAGGGGGAGGGGGGACCCAGTACAGAATAGCTTTCCACCACTCAGAATGTCCAAAGCTTTCCACCACTCAGAATATAGCATACAGTGGTACCTCTGGGTGCGAACGGGATCTGTTCCGGAGCCCCATTTGCACCCTGAAGCGAACGCAACCTGCTTCTGCACGTGCGCAGGTTGCCGCTTCCGTGCGTGACGTCATTTGAGCGTCTGCACATGCGTGAGCGGCGAAACCTGGAAGTAACGCACTCCATTATTCCGGGTCGCCGCGGAGCGCAACCCGAAAATATTCATCCCAAAGCATATTTAACCCAAGGTATGACTGTACAAGCTTTCTGAGTTCTTCATGCTGGATGTTAAAGGGTGTGTACAAAGAAAAAACAGAAGCTCCAAAGTCTACCATTTTTAAGATACCCACTGCATGCATTTAAAGCACATTGCTTCCCCCAAAGAATCATGGGAACTATAATTTGTTATGAGTACTGTGGGTTAAACCACAGAGCCTAGGACTTGCCGATCAGAAGGTTGGCGGTTCGAATCCCTGCGACGGGGTGAGCTCCCATTGCTCGGTCCCTGCTCCTGCCAACCTAGCAGTTCGAAAGCACGTCAAAGTGCAAGTAGATAAATAGGTACCACTCTGGTGGGAAGGTAAACGGCGTTTCCGTGCGCTGCTCTGGTTCGCCAGAAGTGGCTTAGTCGTGCTGGCCACATGACCCAGAAGCTGTACACCGGCTCCCTCGGCTAATAAAGCGAGATGAGCACCGCAACCCCAGAGTCGGTCACGACTGGACCTAATGATCAGGGGTCCGTTTACCTTTACCTTACTGAGAATTGTAGCTCTTTGAGGGAAACTACAGTTCTCAGGATTCCTTGTTGGAAGCCATGTGCTTTAAATTTGTGGTGTGCCTCTGCCCTAACACTACAATGTCCACTCAGAAGTATATACAGTGGTACCTCTGGATGCGAACGGAATCCATTCCAGAGCCCCGTTTGCATCCTGAAGCGAACGCAACCCACGCTTCTGCGCATGCGCGTGACGTCATTTTGAGCATCTGCGCAAGTGGCGAAACCCAGAAGTAACGCGTTCTGTTACTTCTGGGTCGCCGCGGAGCGCAACCTGAAAACGCTCAACCCGAAGCTACTTCAACCTGAGATATGACTGTATAGCAGTGAATTCAGGTTAGGTTCTGCTAGGTGTAAAAAATATTTCAAGATGCATGGAAAGCTGCTGAGGCGAAGAAGCAACATTCCTCTATATTTTGAAAAAATCTACCAAGTATCTGCTAAATCTCCAGCTTTGCAAATATAAGGATTACTGTGTTGGTGTTTTTACTTCTGCTCACTTTAAGTTCCTGATTGCTCCTTTGCAATCACATCTGTACCTGCCCCATACTGGGCCTAATTAGAACCAGAGGTTGGGCCAGAGGTTTCCCATTGCTGATAAAAGCTCAATGGCATGGTTAATCCTGTGGTTTGGCCTTTTAAAGAGAGAGAGAGAGAGAGACTTTTGGTGGTGTCACTGCAGTTCTGCAAGACCCTATCTGTGCTACAGATTTTAGCACTATCATACCAGCTGAAACTACCATGGCTTCCCCTAAAGACTTCTGATGGTGCTGAGAGTCTCCTGATTCACTCCACAGAGTTGTTAGAAGACCCCTATCTTCCTCATAGAGCAACATGGGTTCCCTGGGAAGAGGGATTGCTATGAGGAAAACAGGGATCTTCTAACAACTCTCAACACCCTTAACAAACTACAGTTCCCAGGATTCTTTAGGGGAAGCCATGACTATTTAATGTGGTTTTTTTGAGCTTTAAAAAGGTCAGGTGGGGTCTTGTGGAACTGCACTGACACCACCCAAAATACTGTGTCCTTGGGCAGATGAGGCCTAATTCGCTCTGGAGAAACTTACCAAAACTTCACTTCTAATTTTTCCAACGCAATCCTATTTAGTCTACTCAAAAGCAAGTCCCATTGAGTTGAAGTGATCTTTGGGTGTTAGATGGAATAAGGCAGTTGGGAACAGGGTCTGGGCAGAAATCGCAGAAATGTCCAGGAAAATCCAGACGTTTGGCAACCCATGTCAGAAGTCTAGATTTTGGTGAATTTCCTTAAAAATAGCTCAAAAACTGCAATATTTTTCTAGCTGAGATTTTGCAAAACAAGCTCAACAACTTTGACAAAAGAAAAAAGCTCAACAACTTTTGTGTCCGGTTTTCACTTTTTGAAATAAAATATGGCAACCCTAGTGTTGAACATCTTTTTATTCCACAAAGGTTTTAATAATTTATATTTATTTCTTTAGAAACTGCTTAATCAAACAAATCTTTAAGCAGTGTGCATAAAACAATTATCAGTAATACACAAATGAATTCAGCAAATATTGGTAGACTAATATGTGTCTGGACAGGATTTCTGAATTAAAAAATAAAAGATTTTAGCAGATGTCTTCTAGCATTGATTGGAAAGGAAAGCATACATGGTGCCACGCTGAAAGATAAGCTCCTAGCAAATGCAGAATGAACATTATATGGCACTTATAGAAGTGCAAGTTCTGCAGATCAAAGTGCTTGAGCACATGGAACAAGTAAATGATTCTAGTAAACTGGTCCCAATTTTTTATATAATTTCTAATGCTGTGTGTGAGTGGTCTCTGAGTTTTTAGAGCTATTGTTTTTATCTCTTTGATATTTGATTTATTTTTACTATTAAATTTGTGATTTTTGTAGCTCACTACATACTATATGTGTGTGTGTGAAAATAAATAATAAACAATAAATGACAGTTGTTTTGTAGGCGTGCTATATTGTATGAATCAAATGCATGGATGCTACTGTCCTTCCTACATTTTAAGACCCTGAGTTGATTTTCGCAGGGTATTTCTGACTCTTCAAACTTTATATTTTGCAGATTTGTCTCCCAAGCAAAGCAGGAAGCAAAAAATGGCAACCTGCAGGAATCTCTCTGCCTTCTGAGGAAGGCGCATCAAATCTATCCCTGTGAAAAGCTGACAAGAAAAATGAAAAAAGGTTGAGGAGCATTAGCTTCACTAGCCCTGGATCAGGAAGATGATGTCTTTGTGGACGTTTGTCAGAGTGGACTAATGTTGTTTGGAGAAATACATGACAAGCTATTTGACCACCAGAGAGAAGGGGTTGCCTTCTTATACAGTTTATACCGCGATGGAAGGAAAGGTGGTATCCTTGCAGATGACATGGGCTTGGGGAAAACCATTCAGATCATCGCTTTCCTCTCTGGCATGTTTGATGAAGAACTCATTCGGACTGTGCTGTTAATTATGCCGCCTAGCCTTTTGAGCAACTGGCTTAAAGAGTTTGCCAAGTGGACTCCTGGGCTGCGCGTGAGTGTCTTTCATGGACCCAACAAGTATGAATGTGAGAGAAATCTAAAGAGGATCCAGAAGAGGAGTGGTATCTTGCTCACGACTTATCAGCTGGTCCTCAGCAGTTGGCAGCAGTTATCGAGCTTTGATGGGAAGGAGTTCATCTGGGACTACGTCATCCTTGATGAAGCTCATAAAATTAAAACACCATCTGCCAAAACGACAAAATCTGTGCATGCTATCCCTGCTCAAAACCGCATCCTGCTCACAGGAACTCCAGTCCAAAACAACCTAAAAGAACTCTGGGCTCTTTTTGACTTTGCTTGTCAGGGATCGCTTCTAGGCACAATGAAAACCTTTGGGATGGAATACGAAAAACCTATCATAAGAGCCAGGACAAAGAATGCAACCCAGGAAGAGAAAGCACTGGGACTTAAGATCTCTGAAAACCTGATGTCCATAATCAAGCCGTATTTCCTAAGACGGAGTAAAGATGAACTACAGAACAAAGCTAAGCCTGAACTCAAAATCAGTCTCCCAGAATATCAGGGCAAGACTGTTGCTTCTGAAATGCCTTCTCTGCCCAGAAAAAACGACTTCATTGTGTGGGTATACTTATCACCCATACAAAAAGAAATATATAGGGACTTTCTGTCTTTGGATCACATCCGAAAGTTGTTAATGACCACAAGGTCCCCACTTGTTGAACTGAATGTCTTGAAGAAACTCTGTGATCACCCCAGGCTGTTGTCAGCACAAGCATGTAGCAAACTTGGTCTGGAAGCTCCCAATTATAATATGGTGGATGGTGATGAAAATGATGAGCCTTCCAGCATGAAGAGAAACCTTAGGGACATTTTGGATGAGACTCTGATGGCGGAATCAGGAAAGCTGTGCTTCCTCATGGCCCTGCTGGAAAGATTGCAGGAGGAGGGGCACAGAACACTGGTGTTTTCTCATTCAAGAAAAATGCTGGATATTATAGAGCGCATCTTAACTCACAGGTGCTTTAAGCTAATGCGCATTGATGGAACAGTAAGCCAGTTGGAGGAGCGAAAAAGGAGAATTAGTGTCTTTCAGAAGAGCAAAGAATACTCTGTGTTTCTGCTTACTACCCAAGTTGGTGGGGTTGGTCTAACCTTAACAGCAGCTACCAGGGTGGTGATTTTTGATCCTAGCTGGAACCCAGCTACAGATGCTCAAGCCGTAGACAGGGTTTACAGGATAGGGCAGAAGGACAATGTTGTAATCTACCGGCTAATTAGCTGTGGGACAGTGGAGGAGAAAATCTACAGAAGGCAAGTATTCAAAGACTCATTAATCCGACAAAGCATGGGAGATAGGAAAGACCCATACAGATATTTCACTATGCAAGAACTAAGGGAGTTGTTCACATTGGGAGATACTCAAAGCTCAGTAACACAGCTCCAGCTTCAGTCTTTGCATGCAAGCCAAAGAAAAACAGATAAGCAGCTGGACAAGCACATTGCGTATCTCCATTCACTGGATATATTTGGCATATCAGACCATGACTTAATGTACACACATGAAGCGGTTCATGGAGATGAAGTTGAGGATGAAGAAGTCCTCATGGACATTGAACACAGGGTACAGAAAGCCCAAGAGCTGGTACAGCTGGAATCCCAGCTAAAGGACCAACTGATGGGAAACCTCCGAAACACGACTGAAGGGGCATGGCTGAGAGAAATGGAATTGTCCACCCAGCCAAATAAAAAGCCATCAAAGCCTTCTCCGAATTATGCTCTCGTCCCACCTGTAACTGATGAACCCACAAGCAGTGAGAATTTCAGTCTTGTAGGTGGCAGTGATGATGACATTGTCAATGTAAGTTCTAAGATGACAGAGCTACTTATTGAGGAGGATGAACGAGTGCTTCAGAACCTAACTAATATGGATATCTCTGCATCCATGAACGAAAAATGCAAACCAGCCAGTCCACAAGAAGTAACTCCTATATCTTCTTTTACTCAAGATCATTCATTATCTTACAAGGAGAACTGCAGCCCTGCATGTCAGGTGGTTTCCCATGACCCACCTGCTGAGGCAAATGGCAAGTTTAACGATGCCCAAGTGGCCCCACTGCAGCAGTCATTTCACTATGTGCCTGATGATGATCTACAAACTACTCAAAACCATGCTCTCGTCCCACCTGTAACTGATGAACCCACAAGCAGTGAGAATATCAGTCTTGTAGGTGGCAGTGATGATGACATTGTCAATGTAAGTTCTAAGATGACAGAGCTACTTATTGAGGAGGATGAACGAGTGCTTCAGAACCTAACTAATATGGATATCTCTGCATCCATGAACGAAAAATGCAAACCAGCCAGTCCACAAGAAGTAACTCCTATATCTTCTTTTACTCAAGATCATTCATTATCTTACAAGGAGAACTGCAGCCCTGCATGTCAGGTGGTTTCCCATGACCCACCTGCTGAGGCAAATGGCAAGTTTAATGATGCCCAAGTGGCCCCACTGCAGCAGTCATTTCACTATGTGCCTGATGATGATCTACAAACTACTCAAAACCATGATCAAAGTCATGTATCCTCTTCTTCTCAAGCTCACTTGTCTTTCCAGGTAAACTGCAGTTCTGAACTTCAAACAATCTGCCATGACCCTCCTGTCGAGGCAAATGGCATGCTTACTGATATCCAAGGGTTCCCATTGCAGCAGTCATCAGAGTATGTGTCTAACCATGTCAAGCAACAAGGCGAGACTGACATGTCTCTCAATGTTCCTACAAGTCCACATGGAGAGGCAGGTGAAGTTGCTGAGCCAGGTGCCTCAGAAGCATCTCAACTGCAGACCAGTAAAATGTCAGAACTCAGTTTTGCACAGAAATCTGGAATGAGTGTAATAATGGTTGATGAGGCTCTATCTGGTTCTCCCCAGTGTGATTTCAGACTTGTCTTAGAAGATTCCGAGGATCAGTTGCAAGATATCTCAGGAATGGAAATGTCATTGAAGGATACAGAGAACACAAGATTTCCACTGAATAGCCACTGTAGCTCTTTGGCTCACTCTTGGCTTCAGGAATATTCGGACAACAGAAGTCTCCAAGCCAGCAAAAGTATAATGGGATCTATGGTTATTGGGGGCTCTGATGATGTGTTGATGAACAACAGTGAGCTTTCTTTTCAGCATAAAAATATGCCCGTTAAAATAATCGTTTCAGATAGTGAAGAGGATGACGATTGTTTTATAACTGATTGGGATGATAGCAATCACAGACAAGAATCTCCCACAAACAAACTACCTGATATCATGTCAACGCCAAAGTCTAAATTGTCCACAACCAGCCTTTGTTTCTCTCCTAGGATAATAGTTAGTGGAAGAAGATCAACCGCTTCACGAAAATCCCTTGCTAGTATCCTATTGGATCAGGTGGAGGACATTGCAGAGACCATTGAATCCACCAGTTATATGTCTTGTGAAGATTCTTTTAAGCTTTACCTTGAAGCAGAAAAAACTCTAGACAATTGTGATTAGGAGTTGGAGTGGCTGGAAAAGGAGCCGTCCAGTGAAATGATAGAGACTGAGAGCAAAGCTAGAGTTTTACTACAGCAGTTTCCAGAGTTTTTATACGGTTACACTCACCCCTTTTATGGTACCCTTTTATTGATTACTTCCAGAGCAGATTTGCATGCAATCACAGCAGTGGAAAGATGAACCTGCACCTTGAGGGAAATTGCTTCTGACATTGATCTGTAACATTTAAGGCCCAGCTTCTTTCACTTGGGGTGTGTGTGTGTATGTCTCTCTTTTTTGTAAGAACTAGCTGTTAAGATTTTAAAATAAACCTGGTTTAACTTTGAAAGCCTATTGTGTTAGCTGCGCTCTCTCTCTTTTACCACATTTTAGTTAAGTGCCATCTACTTTGTTCCCACAGAAGGCAAGGAGTCATTTCTTTCCAAGTAGATATAGGGAACCTGTGCTCCCCAAAACATTGCTGGATCGCAGCTGTCATAGTCCCTGGCATCACTTGGGCATACTGGCTGGGGCTGGTGTGAGGTTTAAAAGTTCCTGCCTCTGCTTCAGAGGCTTAGTTCTCACCAAAATGTCCAAGCCTATATTTGGACTGTTCCTATGTTCACAGTTGGAGGATCACCAAACCAAATGCTCCTCATACTAGAAGTTCCCTGAAGAAAGTAAACTGGCGTGATAAAGGGGAAAGGTAAACTAGAGCTCGGCTGCATTACATCTAACAGATAAATAAGTGGGAAGGGCAGCGAACAAATTCTTGCATGGCATTGGAGTTCAGGCAGAATAGAGACTGATGTTTTTAATGAATGGGCCCACCAGCTTAACTTGCTTCTTTTTTAGCTCTCCTGAAGCAGGAGGTAACCAGATGGGTGCTAGTGATTGGTTCGGTTAGGAATCGCTTAAATCACAGGTGCATAAAATGAAAATGAGATACTGTATTAATGAAATCAAAATTCGCTTCATCTAAGCTTGGTGCAGGCAAGATTGGTACTATTAAATGTTCCCCATTAACTGTTGGACATTCTCAAAAAGCTTTCAGAGGAGATTATTCTGATTCTTCTAACCAGGTTTACACAAAATAAATACAGTATGATGTCAAAGTTATTTTCTCCTTTTGGTTTAAAATTTGTTCTCCCCTACCCCATCCTAGGTTGCAATCTAGCAGTGTCTGGGAATAAGTGACATTGAAATTAAGAAAGGGAATAGAGACCAGAAATTGGATTGCATGCTGGGTGTCAAGCCATATAATGAAAATAAGAAAAAAATAATGCTCAAGAAATAAGTACACTTGAGTGTCTCTTTACAGTATCTTTTTGTTCACATAAAATCTCATTTTCCTATTCTTTCACAGCTCTTGTTTGATGCAAGATCTTTCCGTTATTACACACTTCTGTTAAATGTCAGCTAAACCCTCAAAATGTTGCGAATATGTATTCATCCCCTGTTGAGAAAGACTGGTGGAATAGTTTGTGGCACCTAGGTGCTTGCAATGTTAACTGGTGAAAAACGTTTTGCTGCAGAAAAGCTATATAATATTGTGTTCCTGTCTATATTCTCCAATATAAGCTCGCTGGATGTGTCTGGGCTCCAGCTCTCAACATCCCGTACCTTGGCCATGCTGCCTAGAGTTTATGGGAACTGGAGTTTATAACAACATTTGGAGGACCAAAGGTTTCCTACTTTAAATAGAGATCCATCACCATTTATGTACTTCTTGAGAATCTTTTAACATTTTATCCCATTTTTTTCTACCATAAGAGACCCCTATAGGTTGATGTCCCAAAGGACATGCACTTGTTTGACATACAACAATAACAAGCCAATCCTGGCTAGAGTACTATTCTTTTGTCATGAATTTATAAAAATAGAACACTGACTAAGGTTACTGCTTTCCTCTGACTCATGCCTAGCTGACATCACTCCTCAGAAGAGGTAAATGGGCTTTAACGTCACTGGAAGCAACACAGCTGCATGCCTGTCAAGTTCTATTGATCTTCCATTCCGTCACAGAGTCGTCTCCCAGGGCTAAATTCTCCTCTGGCTTTGAAGCATCACAGCATCTCTATTGATTTCACATTTTATACTGAAAAGTTATGCCAATGTGTTCTAAGTGAAGTAGTTTTCAGACTCAGGATTCACCTTTGACCCTAAGCCTTTACTACTCAAACCTGCTTTTAAAATTATTAGTTACTGTACTGTGTTGGGATCATCAGCAGGCTCCTCTGCAGACCTTCCAGAAGTTGAGTTGTAATTATTTTTCCATAAGCTACTGCCTGTTGCAGGTCATCATCCCCCTGTGAACCCAATAGCTTTGTTGATTAGGACAATGGTTCCCCAACCCACCCCCAATGGCAACTTGAAAATTCCTGAGGGTTTTGAGGGACCTCTTAAATTATTTTCTAAACCAGTGTTTCCCAAACTTTTTCTGACCGTGGCCCCCTTCTGACCTGGTTTCCTTTCTGTGCCCACCCCCAGACGTAGCCAAAGGGGGGGCAGCTGCTAACTTAAATAGAATTACTTGTGAGTAACAGAATGACCTAGGATATGTGATATGTAGAAGACTATGGATAAAAGTTAAAATGAAAAGAAAGTTGTTAATTGACCAAGTAAATATTATGTGAAAATAGTTTTGGAAAACTGCTACAATGATTGATATGGAAACTCAGCCAGGGGGATTCGAGGAAGTCACCCAACAATGATAACAAAAGTGGGATTATTACAGTTAGGATAAATGTGTTTTTTGTGTGTGTTTGTTGTTTTGATGTTTTTCTTGTTTGTTGATATGTCTGTTATAAACTTGGAAAAATAATTGAAAAAAATTAAAGAAACAAAACAAAGGGGGGCAGCTGCCCCCAATAAGTAAAAATAAATATAAATCTGAGGTTCTGCCCCCCCTAACAAAAGCCTGTTCCCCTAACAAAAATCTTGGCTATACCCATGCCCCCCTTTCCTACTGATAGAAAGGTAGCCATTTAAATGTTTTGTTTGTAAATAGAACATGTTTTATTGATAATTTTTATAATTTATACAAAACATTTACATAAAATGTTAGGGACATAATGGAATGCTAAAGCATCCATGACAGATGACCATCCAGCCTCCAAGGAAGGAGAGTCCAGAACCTCCTGAGGGAGATCCATCTTCCATGTATTATAAAAAGTAAACAACACTTATTTGACCTCACTTATTAGACACAGAGGGGGAAACCTACTGATACAATCCAATATACAGCTGTTGCTGCTCCTGTTTGTGTTTGGGAAGACCACTCCCCACTGCAAGCCAATTCCATCAGGCCCAAGGGCCTACACTCACACATACTCTGAGCAGCTCTCTGCAGCAAGTGGCGAAAATGTTTTTAAATGTTTAAAAAGTGTTCTTAATCTGCTGCACCTCCAATGGTGGTTTTTAAAAATATTTTATTATTTTCTTTCTGTTTGGGGTGGGACAAATTTTAGTCGGGGCGGGGAGTAGTTCAGTTTTAGCGTAATTGTTTCTTGCTTTGTTTTTACTTTCACTATTTTGTTAAGTTATTGTATAGTTTGTATTTTGCTTCCCCTCCCCCCTTTATTAAATTTTATTGTTACCGTTCACATTAACACACAATACAGAAAAAGAATATAAATTTCCATCACCCCCAAAGAAAAACAGAGAATTAGTACATCAGCTAAAGGTAAAGGGACCCCTGACCATTAGGTCCAGTCGTGGCCGACTCTGGGGTTGTGGCGTTCATCTCGCTTTATTGGCCGAGGGAGCCGGCGTACAGCTTCCGGGTCATGTGGCCAGCATGACTAAGCCACTTCTGGCCAGTGGTGTAGCGTGGGGGGGCAGGGGGGCTGGGCGCAACATTTGGGGGGGGCGCACTCGCACTAGTGGAAGAGACTCGAGTGCTAATCATTAGAATTTCTATGTGGTGTACATAAAAATAAACCATACAAGGAATGAAACAAAACCAAATAAATCATCATAGAACCAAACAGAAACTCAAACTAACTTAAAATGCCTGCTGGAATAAGGGGGACTTTATCATGCACCTGGAGTTCAGAAAAGAGGGTGCCTTTCTAACTTTAATTAGGGAGGGAGTTCCACAAGCCTGGGCCCACTACACTGAATTCACATCTTCTGGTAGTTCATCTGTGCCACTGGGGAACACCAAAGGGGATCTCATTGATTGAGCAGGGATATATGGGAGCAGCTAGTCCTAAAGATTTTGTGGACTCCAGTTGTTCAGGGCCTTGTAAGTTAAGGTCCAGTCACCGACAACTCTGGGGTTGCGGTGCTCATCTCGCTTTACTGGCTGAGGGAGCCGGCGTACAGCTTCCATGTCATGTGGCCAGCATGACCAAGCCGCTTCTGGCGAACCAGATCGGCACACGGAAATGCCATTTACCTTCCTGCCAGAGCGGTACCTATTTATCTACTTGCACTTTGACATGCTTTCGAACTGCTAGGTTGGCAGGAGCAGGGACCGAGCAATGGGAGCACACCCTGTAACGGGGATTTGAACCACCAACCTTCTGATCTGCAAGTCCTAGGCTCTGTGGTTCAACCCACAGCGCCATCCGTGTCCCTAGTACATCAGCTAGTAACCTTCAAAACATAAAAGTGGTCTTTTTCTATCTACCAGACTTCCCGTCTATTCCTTATTACAGATTCTGTATTACAGTCATACCTCGGGATAAATACGGTTCAGGATAAGTATTTTCGGGTTGTGCTCCGCGGCGACCCGGAAGTAACGGAGCGTGTTACTTCCAGGTTTCACCGCTTGTGCATGCACAGATGGTCAAAATGACATCACATGCATGCGCGGAAGCGGCAATGCGCAGATGCGTCTTACGTTCTGTTCAAGATGCGAACAGGGCTCCGGAACGGATCCTGGATCCCATTCGCATCCCGAGGTACCACTGTAATTGTTCGCTGCCATTGCATAACGAGTTTTGTTCACTTTCAATATCCCTTGATCCATTCACTGGTTTTATCACATTTTACCACTTTTTAAAAAATGTATTCTGCCTTTTAAGGGGAAAGGGTCAGGGCTGCCTGGGAGTGGACCTCAGCCAACAGAATGTCTGGGGCAGGTTCCACAGTTTGGGATGCACTGAGACACCCAATCTCAGTGATCACGGGCAGGAAGAGGAGTTACACTAAGACCAGACCATGTCATTACTGAGGGGGGCAGGCTTAGTCCTTGTTTGAGGACTATCCCTGCCTCCAGGTCTGGTCCTGACTGGAAGGATACTGGAATCAGCAAGGGAAACCCACATGACCTGAGGGAACCAGAGGGCCTTCTTGGTAGTGGCACCCACCCTGTGGAATGCCCTCCCATCAGATGTCAAGGAA